TTCCCTCCTAATCACTAGGCTAACCATAGTGGTTATCGGATCAGTTTGATTAAACTTAACAAAAAAATAAAAATAATAATAAACAGTTACAAAAAACAACATTTTTAAAAAAATAAATTCAAAGATGCATATAGAAGTTGCTTCTTAAAAAGTAGAAAAATATTTATTTTTAAAATAAACATTTTGGAATAGCACTAAAAAAATAGAAAACTATTTATTTATTAATAAAACATTTTTATAAAAAATTAAACCACTATACATGGAATGTGATGTGAGAAGTGTAATACATTAGGGTTGGGCTTGAAATGTAGTAGTTATTAGGCCGAAAGGTTAGTGGGGGCATTAATGGTCCCACAAGTCATTTACACTCAACAGAAATACCCTCGTTAGTTGTGTCATTTGTTTTAATTGTTTCGGAGATATTTCCTTCAAAATTTGTTTCAAACTCACATGAGAGAAAAGGAAAGGAAAGGGTAGATTAAGAGAGAGGCCACCTGTGATTCCTTATTATTGGTGCAAAGTATCTATTTTAATGTAATTTTTTTTCTTATTCACATTTTTTTAATTATAAAATTCATATTTGAAATCTTACTTAATAGATGAGTTTAGTTTTACTCAGATTAATGGACTACCCATGATTGATAAGTGCTATTCGCTAATTATATTATAAGATTTAGAAGTATCCTTAGGCTACTGATATTGAAAGATGGTTAAGTTCAACTGGACGATAATGAAAAATGTGGATGGAAATATATAGCAAGAACTTCAAAATCTAGAAAAAAAATTTGGGAACTTTTCTTCTCATTCTCCAATTTGTTAAAGAATTAATCACCTATACACTGCCAGTATAAAGTTTTTTTTACACCGGCAACCAATTAAATTTTTTAACTGTGTTATGTCACTGTTAAAAGTAAATGTGTTTAGTGACATGACACTATTAAAAGATCTAATTGGTTACCAGTGTAAAAATACTTAAAAATACTTTACACTAATAATGTATAGGTGAGTAACTCTTTGTTAAATACCAACTTGCTATGATAAACCAAGCAGCAATGCAACTATGCAACATGCAAGTACCAATTGAATAGGGAATTTTGAATAATATTATTAACATCACTATGAACTTAGATAAGTTGACCTTAAGTCCAAATTATGTATCAGGAACTTAGGGATCCAATCTTATGGCAAGTATATATATATATATATATATAGGGAGCGTATCAAGTGAGAAATTTTTATTGTAAGAAGGTGGAAATATAACCCTTAGATTAATTTTTTCTCACTTGATTAAATCTCAAATTTTCTCTCACTATATATATATATATATGTCAATTGATAAAATGTGGCTAACAACATAAACTATTAAGGATAAAGGATAAGGAAGTTGTTAGATTTTAGAAAAGCTTCTTTGATGTGAGTTGTTGGTACCTTCAATAAGTTTCTTTTTTTTAAGTCTATTTCAATCAATTTTACAGATATTTATTAAATAATTTTTTTAAACTTATTTCAATAAAATTTATAGTCAAACTTAGCTCTTATTTAATAAAAACTATTAATTGTTTACTCAAACAGACACTAAATAATTCTATATATCATCATGCACTACGCAAATAACTCAATTAATTAAAAATGATTAGTTAGAATTACATTATATTTATTCACTAATTTTATGGACATGTAGGACTCGAATTTTCCTTTTGCAAGTACTTCTTTTTGTTCAAAGTGTGATAATTGATAAAAGTTATATTGGCATAATTTGATCCCTCTTGTATGTTTGTGTGCGTCTCTCTCTATATATATATATAAGGAAGGATCAAATAACTCCAAAAATAACTTTAGATAAAATTATTTCACTCAATAGCTCATAATGTATGTTAAAGTTTAACAATCAAATTATTAAAGTAAAAATTCTTAATGTATGTTGGTAAAATTACAAAGAAATAAAACTGACTTTTCCAAAATAATTTAATAAGAACATCTTAAACTAATACTATCTATGCCCCGATGTCACATGTCCTATCAAAGCAAAGCCCAATATAGAAGCCTAAGCTTCATCACCAACATCCTCAGTCTCACGCTGATGATTACCTGTATAACAGTCAAAGAAAAATAACAGGAGAAAAGGGAGTGAGAAACATCTCACTCTGGCTCACAGTGTAGAAATATACACCGGATAGCCAAACACAAACAAAGTAGGTATAACATAGATAAATTAATAATAACATCACATCTCACTCATCCAAGATATATCAATTCTTCATATAACATTAAAATGCACATGTATGGACACAGACTACATTTTATCATGCATGTGGCGTCAGTAACATATCACATGAGATATTACCACTAGCAATACACGAAGAGTAGTCTAGGAGTACATGTCAGGTCACACCCTCTACGCACTCTCACTAGAAGGACATACTACTAGAGTCTCGTCGAGATAGCTAAGCCGCACAAGATACATCCCAGGCACACAATGGGCGAGACTGGGACTTCCAAACCGAGCTATCCCCAAGGACTGACTAATCCCCAAAGCTTTTACACTAGGGGGCCTTCTCTGGCGGTGTATTCCATATCGTACCCTTAAAAACATTTATGCACATGATGCATGTCAATCAAGACTCGATGTTTTTCTCATATCACATTTTCATGTCTCATTCTCATATAACATTATCACATCTCATTGTCATATCACATTATCACATTATCACATCTCATTGTCATATCACATTATCACGTCATATCACATTATCACATCTTTTTCAAAATTTTCACAGAGCACTTTAATTCATATCAAAACTCATCTATTTGCGAAATTAAACACATGTTCATACTCCATAATAAACATCAAGGAACACAATAGAAAACTCAAGGAATAAAACAGAAAACATTTAAAATTTGCCTGTTTCTCATAGGGTTTTCACAGGAACCCACAGAGCACTCTAATTCATACAATAAACATTTAAAATAATACAATTAACTCATACAATTACCTCTTCAAACCATCTTCTCTTACAATCACCAATGCATTCCCTCAGGTTTCCTATAGGAACCCATAGAGATCTCAAATCATACGGTTAATTACATATAAGAAACCAATAGGCGAAATAGATACAATTGGGGAAAACCCTTCACATGAACATACAAAAAAAATACAACAAACATAGGATTGGGGTCCAATCCCACTACCCAACAGATATTCCTACACCCAAAGCGAGGTTTCTCACTCCCGCCTTACCTGGATAAGTAGGAGCTGAAACTAAAGCTAGATCTTGCTAGTCCCCTCCTCTAGGTTCTCCCTTGGTCTTTTCAAAGAGTGTAGAAGAAAAAAGAGGTCAGAAGTAAAAAATGTGCTTTTGGGAGTGTCGGAGCATTCTATTTATAGGCATCAGGAGTGGCCAGAACGGTCCATTTCAAATCCGAAACTTTCCATTCTAGAATCATTTATCATGCGTAAATTTCATATCCAGAACGGCCTGTTCCAAAACTAGAACGACAGGTTCAGAATTTACATTTTACCCACAATGGCCATGATTGGAACAGCCCGTTCCCAAATCGGAACAACCCGTTTTGGGTTTAAGTTTTAGTCATAAAATTTTGTGTTGGAACGGCCCGTTCCAACATAGGCTTTATAGGTCATTTTCGTAGTTTGGAATGGCCTGTTCCAGTTTGAGAACGGCCCATTCTGGGCTACTAAAAATTAAAATATTACAAAAATAATTTTCATAAATATTCATTGTTAAAATACTAATAATTATTAAAAATCCTTTAAAACATTCTATAAAACCCATTAAAATATCTATAAGAAAATAACCTCCATAAATATAAAAATGAACAATAATTAACCTATTATACTAGTAGAAAATTCGGGATGTTACAATTCTCCCCTCCTTTTTGAAATTTCGTCCCCGAAATTTACATGCAACAGAAATGGGTAGACTTCTCGCATCTTTCTTTCTAATTCTCGTGTAGCACTTTCCTAAATATTCCCCATCAGAAACTATATTAGTAAAAATATCTTGTGTAACCTCACTACCTTGTTGAAGTACATCTCTATCAATCTCTCTAAAGAATATCTAATATCAATAAGGGTAAGGTGAGCCACCTTAGTGAGTCTATCCACTAACCAAATAAGATCAAATTTCTTAAGCATATCAGGCAAAACTATTACTAAATATATATATATATATATATATATATATATATTCAATTTAAAAATGAAAACTGATCTCTTTTTATCTTTTTCTCCTACCCCTCCATTCAAACATACCTTGACTCCAGTCTATGTTTGCCATGGTATGTCATTGTCATCAACTAGTCCTGTTGCAGCTTTCAGAAACATCTATGTTTTCATGAATGGACCATAGACAGAAATAATGGGAGATGAGCAAATTGTGACAAGGCTACAAAAGACTACATTATATTGACAAGTCTCCTTTCATCCCCACGCAAAGAATCTCACACATGCAACACAAAGGGTGTAGAGGGGGACCAAACAAAAACCATGAAAAGTAGTGATTGTATAATTAAAATGGAAAGCCTGCTACGGATTGTGGTCCACATTTGGCTTTTGTAAATTGCTCGAACCCTCTTTCATTTTAACATCCACTCAATGGTTTCATACTTTTATCTTGTATTTGTTTAGTTTTACAAATGGGAAATTAGAAGTTTACAATGGAAATATAAAGTTACACTAGGAAAACAAATAAAAATGCATTTTAGATTCCAGGTTGTTTTTCAAAATACAAGAATAGAAAAATTGCAGGAATACGTTTTTCAGGTTAAAATAATACTTTCTGGGAAAGCTTAACTGAAAGTAAAATTTGTTAGTGTGATTAAGACATTATCTCCTTTCTAAGGGGAAGACTTAATGCATAATTTTAAATTAAATTTCACAAAATATGCAAAATGTCTCATTCTAGCATAACTATTACCAACAAAATGTGTCATACCCAAGATTCAAAAATCTTTTCTTACAAAGCCAGGCTTTCTCAAACACAAAATGAATGAGCAAGGTAGCCTCTTGATTCCGAAAGACTTTGCATAATTGCTACTAGAGTTTTAGAAGATATCATTTGCATTATTTTCTTATAAAAACAAACTCCATTTAGAGCACTTATTTTATTTTATTATTTATTTAAAGACTCTTAGCTAATGCAATAATTCTAAAAATGGAACCAGCAACCGCATTTCAAAACAGGCCCTTAAAACCAATTGTGATTGTCCCTTATCATTGTTCTAAGAGCATTTTATGTTAACTGCCATGATAATCAATAGACTCAAAGAAGTAAAAGCACACAACATTGCCATCAGCTGCACCTGATAACATCAGAAATCTTGCCTCAAAACTGTAGAAAGATTATAAATTTCGTGAGAAGTATTTAAATTCTGTATAGAAATACTACATTATGGATTATCCATAGGAATTATGGGATCAGACATAAAGAACCTAGTCTAAACTTGAGGTATCATATTTCCAACTGAAATGGAGTTTTACTAAGCTGAAATGACATGGTAATGCTGGGCAGCACCCATGAAAATGACTAATAATGGCAAATACAATAAAAAAGCAGATTGAGGAATCCAAACTAAAAGAACTCAAAGTCCAGATATTTACCCCAAGACTTCATGTCAGTACCTACTACCCTCTTACTAGTGCTGCCAGTGCCAACTCCAACAGGATCAACTGGTCCAGCCTTCCCTGGTAGTTCATTTTCCACCGGTCTCGGCACTTCTGGCGGTGTGCTGCACCTAATCAACGCCCAGTTCACACCTTCGAAGAAGGGGTGCTGCTTGATCTCAGTTGCACCCCTTTTAACACCAAGCCGATGCTGCGGCTCCTTCACTAGCAAGCCACGGATCAGATCCCTGCTTGCATAACTGGTAGCAGGTGACTCGGGAAACCTGAGCTGCTGACCTACTACATTGAAAAGTGTGGCACGGTTTCCTGACCCTTTGAAAGGGGTTTTCCCATATAACAGCTCATGCAAGAAAATTCCAAATGTCCACCAATCAACTGCACTTCCATGACCTTCTCCTTTGATAATTTCTGGGGCAAGATACTCATGAGTGCCAACGAAGGACATAGATCGAGCTTGTGTAGGCTCGGCAACAAGCTCTGGAAGTGTGCTGGAAGGCAACCCAGGATCAGCTCTTGGCTTCCGAGACTTCTTGTTTTTCTGAGGAAATAACCGAGGGATGAAACATGCAGGTTGGATGCACACTGATGATGGCTCAATACATGCAGGTTGAACACAGAATGCACCACCGGCCCGTTTTGACGGGTCACCATCATAGGAAGTTCTGATAAGAGTAGGTGAAACAGCACATCTGAGGGAAAGATCAAAATCTGATAGCATTATGTGACCATCGTCTCGGACCAACACATTTTCTGGTTTAAGGTCTCTATACACTACTCCAAGCATGTGAAGATATTCAAGAGCAAGCAGGACCTCCGCGGCATAAAACCTATATGGAGAGGAAATGACAACGTGAATAATTATGATGATTCTAAGTCAAACAATAACATTCAAGTGCAAAGGCAAGATATGGAGAGCAAGATGATCATGCACTAGTTTTCTATCACATATTCATAGAAGCCAAAAACATCTTAAAGTAGAATCTTTATAAAATAATATATATGACCATCAATCACATGCATAAGCACAGCTTAGTAGATCAAGAAAACAAGTAAAGATAATATCTTTTTTATCCTGGAAGTAAAAATATAATACTATAAAAGTTTAAGTTATACACACATAAATAGGCATTGAAGATTCTGAATAACTTTGCACCTCAATGCAAGCAAAACTTTGACAAGTAGCTTGGAACACTGCATGATTATAACATCATTTATGCTAGTTTATCAACTATGAAAGACACATGAACTCACAAGAGCACCAGGCGCATGATTCACAACTTCACAAAGATGAAGATAAGACAACCATACACAGAAGACCTATAAAGAGCAGTTAATTTCTCTTCAAATCTTGAACAGAGGCTATTGTTAAAGGGAGACTAGAAGTAGCAATCCATGTACTTAGTTTTTAGTGAAGGAATCATAGGAAAAACATGACCAATGCAATTGCATAAGCCAAATTATAAAATTATACTTTTATCTCAATAAAGGCAAGACACGAAAGAAACAAGAAATAAAAAATAATGTTACTCACTCTAGTACATAATATTAGAGTTTTAGCATGTCATTTTAGTATATCGTAGATTAAGAAAAACAAACAAATGAGAAGTAAAAAGAAGATAAAGTACAAATCCTAAATTACCCCTTTATTTTGAAGATTTTTTAAAAAAAAAAAGGAAATCTCTCCAAATGCAAAAGATTGAGGTACAGGAAAAAATTATCATTTCTCCAGATTAGATAAAGTTTCATGAAAAACAAAAGGTAATTACATCATTGACATTTGAATCCATGCACATAAACACAAAAATACATAGAAATCTCAGTCAATAGCAGATCTTCACGATGGAAAGCATTACAAAGAGCTCAGGTAAAGGAAAGCAACTATGTAAACATAAAGCATACCGTGCAGCATATTCTGAGAAATGCTTCCCAGGCTGCCGCTGCCTTAAAGTGTGAAGATCACCCCCTGGACAATATTCCATTACCAAACACGTGAATCGATCAGTCTCAAAATGCGTATACAAAGTTGGTAGAAATGGATGGTCCAGCAACTGCAATATCTCCCTCTCTGTCTGTGCTCTAGTCAGCTTCTTTCTGCTTGCTAGGGATGCCTTATCCATAACTTTCATTGCAAAATAACACCGAGTTCCACTCAGCTCCGAGAGATATACACTTCCAATGTCACCACATCCTAGTCGTTTGAGTAACCTAAAATGACTCATGCCCAAAATCCCATCTCGTAATCGGATAGCAAGGATAGCCTTCCACCTAGGATCATTTCCTTTGTGAGGCTTATTGGCACTACCAGTAATGTTGCTCCAATTGCTGTCATCGCTGAGGCCGCTGCTATCACTTGCTCTACTAGCACTAGTTTTAGCACTCTCTAGTGAATCCCCCCTTACACTCCCTTTAGTACTATCACAGTTCCTGTCTAAACTAAGCATGCCATCACTAGTCATTGCATCACTCCGATATGTACTAGCACAACTATTAACAATGCTCATAGCAGTGACAACACCAGTACTATCAATACTACTAAGAGGACTCACATTGCCACTAGGAGGCAAAGAAGCATCCCAAACACATTCTTTTTCCTCAGCATCTGGAGGGAGGAGAGAGTTCTCGATATTCTGCGATGCCCGAGGACCCAAAAATGCTATGTTCCCTATATCATTTAGTTCTTCAACCAGACTTTCTTCAGGGGAAAGGGCAGCTGGACTTGGTTTCTTTGCAGGAACACGAATCGAGAGATCTTCCAAAAGAGGGCCTTTTGTAGGCAAGTTCCTGATTAAACATCCAGCCTCAGATTTGTTTTGACCTATAGGCACATAAACAGTTCTCATAAGATCTGTATCAACAGGTTCTGGGGGATGACTAGCACCAGCAAATAAACTTGGATCGCTGTCCTCAAATGAATCGCTGCTTCCCTTCAATGTCTCAACATCAGGCACAAATTCTTCTGCTTCTGGTGAAGGGGCCTTTCCTTTCCATGCTATGGTAGGCTCAAAGGTGAGGGATTCTTCAGAGGATCGAGTATCGAATCCCATATCTTCTTGAACCAAGTATATCCGTGCATTCGTTAACTGAGCCACTTCCCTGAGAGAGGCCAATCGAGTAATTGGCACCTCAACATCCCTTGTTTTGGACAATTGACTCACTTCCCTCACCGAAATTCCACCAACACTCGATCCCTCCCGGCGATTTAGTCTCTGACTTGACTCTCTTGCAGCAGCTGTGTGTGCATTCGATACCTCAACCAGGATAGGCAAGGTCCGAGGAAGCACCTTCGGCTCCACAACCCTCTCCATGTCCCAATATCACTTAAACACTTCCATGTAACAAGTCCCTGTAAATATAAACCATAAGTTCATTCAACAATGGGTTCATATATTTTAACTTGAATTTCAATAAACAACCATATACCAACAAACAAGATGGTGAACATAACCAAGACAAATCTTAAACAGAAGAACTTAAAATGAAACAATAGTGATCCTACTTTGCTCTATTTTAGATTAGACAGATATAAACACAACCACCACTCCAAATTAAATCAACAAGGAAATGTTATACATAGAAAGTCAATTGTAAATAGTAATAATTGTTTGAAGCCTCATCATCAACAAGAAAAAGCTACTCAGCAAAAATTATGTAATGTTAGTGGAATTATGGAATGTCATTGGGCTATTTGGTGCTTGATGACAAAAATATTACTTAGAAAACCTTAAAATTCCAAACCCTTAACAACAAAACACCACCCCAACTTGGAAAATAATAATGAGAGCCAAGCAGATCAGGAAACTACATGGTTACTTGAATCATCAACACACTAACTCCATTTTCAATCAAACCCAACTTTAAAAAATTGTATCCATTCATAGAAACAGAAACCCACAAAACCCAATCTCTTAAAAAAAAATTAAAAAAAGGAAACATATTTATATTAAAAAGAAAAACCCCACATTTTCTTCTATTCACATTGCTTGAGAAACGACAATACCCACATAAACCCAAAAGTTCCAACTTCCAAGCCAAAGTTCTGAGAGAAAAGAGAGATCTTGGCTCCATAAAACAAAAGGGTAGAGAAGAAGAAGAAGAAGAAGAAACAAGGGAAATGGAGCAAAAGGGAGAAAATACAAACCCAGCATTGAAATGAAGGAGAAAACTGTGTAATAATATAATGGGGTTTCCCTTTGTTCCCCACTACTTCAAACCCAACAACAACAACAACAAACACCCTCTTCCTATTTCCTTCAACAACACACCAATTCTCTCTCTCTCTAGAAATGCAATCGTAAGAGTGAAAGAAAAAAGATTTCCCTCTCACCAGAAGCGAGTTTCTCTCTCACTAAAGTATTGCTCTATGCTGTTGCTGTTGGTGGTGATAGTTATGCTTACATTCTTCAACTTTTTTGCTATTTTGTTCTTCGTCAATTATTTTTTAATGAATTTGATTCTAAGAAAAATACTATTAACACGTTCCCTCACTACACTAGTAACTTTCTTTCACACATTCGTTTTCTTTTTTTATCCATAAAGAAATATAACAACAACAATGTAGATGGAACTTAAATTTTCTTATATCTACTCAACTTTTATTTTAAATCGACCTTAATAATTCATTAGAATACATTTTCTGTTATTAACTTAAAATTATTCAAAATTACATAATATTTTGAGTTTCATTTCATATTTAATAGACTTTACACGTGCTTTTATAGTTTTTAATAAGTATTAGAAAAAATGCGTTAAAAATATGTTGTTAATACTCCTTTATTTTACATGTATTGAACGTCTATAAGTTTTCCTCATCTAATTGCAAAGTATATTGGAAGAGAAATTTATTAATTTTTATAATAATTACATTAAAAATTAAAAATTATAATTAATAGTTAAGACTTACATTGATAATGAAAGAAATTAAAATTTTATTGTATTAATGAATATTTTGTTGTTAGAATTTATTAAATTTTAAAAAAATATATATAAATAAAATTTATTAAATAAATTGTGAGACCTAATAATCAAGAGTATATTTTTATAAATAAAAAAAATTGTATTACATAGTACGGTTAGCATTTTTTTTTAAATTCTTCCACCCATTACCATTTTCATATTTGTTAGTGTTACTTTATTTTTGAAAATTATTAGTCTCTTAAAAGAAAAGAAGAAAAAAAAACTTGTTTCGATGTAATTTTGTTATTTTGTTTTCATTTATTTTGTGTGTAAAGTATTTATAGTTATAAAAGCAAATTATAATAAAATAACATGTTAGTAATATTTAAAAAAAACTAAATAAAACAATTGATATCTAGATAAAAACAACTTTTAGCAAAAGAAAAATTACTAACAGACGAATGATAGGAAGAAAAATTACATAATGTTATTTAAATTATAATATAAAGGTGAATTTTATTTAAACATCATTTATGCTCCTTTTTTGATTTAATTTTGTTGGGAAGATAGAGAAAATGAGAGTGGGACCCACGTGTTGGTTCTTTATGGTACACTTGTTTTCAAAGCACTGTCATCACGTCAAGCCGTTTTCTTTGATCCGCTTTTTGATTTCTCAACATGGCGCGGCGCGTGCTTTCCACTCTCTTCATTTGCGCGTCGCTTTCTTTTTCATTTTCAATTACAAATAGAATATCCCTCGCCAAGATTCTAATGCTTTATTGGGTGAGGTGAAGGTAGGGATGGCAACGGGGCGGGGCGGGTACGGGTTTCATGATACCCGTCCCCGTCCCC